CACGAACTCAGTATAATTTAATTGGGTCAACCGAGGCGGTCAACACATATCTATCCAGGCAGAGATTATATATTAGCTAGATTTGAAACGTTGTTTTCAAACATTGTTCCTTTAAAAAATCAACAAATTTAGAGGTCAAATAACCCTCAAAAGCCAGGCCTTAACTTAGTTCAAAAGTTATGAACTGCTGAAAGCCTGAAACTGCTAAAAGTTAGGCACCGGTTAATTTGGTGACTAGTTAGGAATTGCTGAAACACATTTCTTCTTTTAGGGAAAGTGGCAACCATAAGAATATTTTATGTCTTATTATTCAGCCTAATGATATGGGAAATTTCACGAGGACTAAGATGAATTTGTATCTATGGACTTTGAGTTTTTGTTTATCCTTTTCCCCCTTTTCCCCCTTTGATGGACAGACTGTCACTTCTTGTTTTTTCAAGTCCTAAATTTTGGTAGTAGTTATCCAATATAATGTTCAACATCCATTCATTACTGATGAAATTAATTACAAGCTGAACCGCATGAGGTGTTTTTTCTACAAACTCATTTGTTAAGTTGAATTAAGCTGAATGAAATCGAAGGACTACAATTCAAATAAGAAAACTAATTGTTGTCCATGGTAACAAGAATTGTTTTAGTTTCACAAAAGTTGATGTAGCGAAAAACTTTAGAGTGATCTTAACTCGAAATAAATTAAGATAATGGCAAATTTTAGCACCTCAAAAGATTTTATACAGTTCAGCAATGAGACATTATCATATAGAGTAAATATTAAAAGCAAATGGAGTTAAAAAGTTGGGGAAGTGTCATCTAGAAGCTCTCAGAAATTTCAGGTAAGAGAGTTGAATTCTTTGAATGGCTAATATTCAAATTGAATTCAATCTGACTTTGTGGAAGTCTCATCCAGCATATATATTCTCTGTTTCTTCTACATAAAAAAAAGTCTTGCCCCTTCTAATATGATAGTGAGTTTTCTCGCACTTAAAGATTGTAATATAGTGGTATAAGTACGAGTATCGTCTCCACAGGGACAGACAAAAGGGAATTAAAGATTAACTAAATTCAGCGATTAAAAAGAAAAGAAAATAAAATAAAATGCAATTGTGCGAGATTGATTGGTGAATTAAAATTAAACTAATGCGAATGAGCAATTAAAATAAAAGATTGGTTTTCTTTCTTATAAACGACGAAGGGAACAATGATTGATTCCGGGGTAACCAGATTTCAGGCAGAACATGCCTAATTATATGAAATTAATTTAATTGAGCCTAGTTAATCATTACTAAGTTCTTAACGCTCTCGCGGCGTAGAGTACAATAATTTAGGGAACCAGACTGATCTCTCATGCGGCAGGGTCCTAAATTATTGTCAAGACGAGCGAGCTTACGGCCCCTTAATTGCTACTAATCTCTTAGCGAACGATTAAGTGTGTGTGAATGTGTCCTAGAACAAATTAGATCTCTCTTAATTTATTCTACATGCAATTGTAATTCTTGTCGCGATTCTAGACTACAAGAGATATCAGTTAAATTATTCAAACACAAATTAAACGGCATTCATGCAATTAAACCGACAAGAATCTTGCCATACATCATGATTAACCCCTTCCTCAATCCCAAACCCCTAATTAAACTACTCACAATTCATAATTGAAGAATCAACAGAATTGGGATGAATAGAAATAATTGTCATTAACTAAAAAGATGAACTTACAAATAATCTCAGGGTCTTGGAAGAAAATAGCGTAAAAACGATGTTAAATTCGTCCCTAGGCCTCTCCGTAATGTTCGTAACTCCTAAAAAGGGTTAGGGAGGCCTTATTTATAGAAAAAAAGGGAAAAATCTCAATTCTGGTCGATGTGGGAAATTTCCGCGCGTAACTCGGGGCTACGCACGACCGTGCATCCCTAGCTACGCACAATCGTGCGTAGCAGGCAGTAGCTCCTCCGCGGTTTTGTAATTGACATGGCGCACGATTGTGCGTCCCAGATGCACGACCGTGCGTCCCAGACGCACGACCGTGCGTCCCAGACGCACGACCGTGCGTCCGTTTTTTTTTCGCTCATTTCTCTTATTTTCTTGCTCCAAACGCTCCCGGATGCAAACGAGGTCGATCCAAATGCTCTTTCTTCATCAAAATTTCGTTGTGAATCACCCGGTGACCTCCAAATCTCTCAAATCTCTCTTGAATGCTCTCTAGCTCCTCCCGATTGCCTCTGAAGAGCCGATTGTCGGACTCTAACTTCTTCAATTTGACTCCAAATGCAACGAAACTTGACCCAACGCCTGGTAATCACAACTTGAGCTCAAATTGAGACTTGCAACACTTTAAAGCAAGGAAAACCATCAAAATCTAATCCCAACACGCATCAAATGCGTGTTGAAATATGAACTTATCATAATACTATATTGTAACATCATAAATTTCAGATTGCTCATATGTGCCCTATTTTGGATGTCTTCTTGCTACTTTATTAATTTAAAAAGACATTTACTAAAAGGAAAGAAATGATCTATTTTAACATCATAAACTTCGCTTAAGCATTTACTCGAATCCATAAAGAATTACTTTCATTTAACTGGATATGGGTGCTTCGGGGTTAGTCATTCATTTATTCAATGTTAGGGTTAGTTTGCACATTGAAACTTGTGATATCTTATCATTGTTGTTGTTTACTGCTTTAATATTAAATCTGTGTGTGCTGCTACTCCTTTGCATTGCATTTGATTTATTTTTTTTATGTTAATTTTCACAAATCACAATTATTAATACAGGCAGCCTCTTATATATGAAGATGAAATTGAGAACATGCATTGCAACTTCAATGGCTAAAAGTTTATTTCTACTGCTTTGTTTTAATATTTGTTACTCAAGTGTTTCCCTGATTAAAGGTTTATTAATTATTTTTTTTTGTAGATTAATGACACTGTTGATGAAGAAAGTGAAGATGAAGACATGGACATGAGACTTTGATTAAAGACACTCCTACTGCATTAGTTTTTCAATACCATGAATGGTGATTTTTATGATATACTTCGTATTACTTTGTTGACTTGTGATTTGTTGGTGATTATTATCGACCTTTTTGTTGCAAAAAGTGAATTTCTATATCTATTCCTGGCCAATTGAATAGATTGGAAAATATTTTAGAAAATATTGCTGCATTTCTTAAAAAACCATTTTAGAAAATATTTACTCTTTTCTTAGTATGTATCAATAGTTAAAAAAAACGTATCTAACATTCTAACATTTTGGCAACGGTTTTCTTTTATTGCATTTGTAAAACGGCTCAAAACCGTTGTTGTACACACTTAAAAAAAACGTTCTCTATACTATATCTAGAAGTACGGTTTTCATTTTGTGTTGCTTTTAAATTCAAAATCCGTTTCCAAAAGTATAGGCAACGCCTTACAATGCCACAGTTTTGAAACTGTTGCATAAAATAAAGGTAATGCTTTTTTTATCATTACACAACGGTTTTCTAGTGTAGCAATATACTTGAAATGTTGTAGTGATAAGTTAGCCATCAGTATTCCTCACAATCCTGTCCAACATGACAAGACCAAACACATAAAACTGATAAAAGTTGATCGTCACTTCATCAAAGAAAAACTAGAAAGAGGAGAAATTTGTATACCTTACGTTCCCACATCAGAGCAATTCACAGACATCCTGACCAAAGGACTATACAAACAAACATTTGAAGATTTTCTAGTCAAGCTAGGCATGATTGACATTTTTGCCCTAGCTTGAGGGGGGTGTTGGACAGAATAATATATTTTAGAGAGAATTCCTTAAATAGGAGTAAAAACGTTTTGAAATTCCAAAATAGGAGTATCATGATTTTTATTCCTTGAATAGGAGTAATCTGCCAAGTTTGGAAGAAAATGCCATGTTAAAAAGTCTTGTAATGCCAAACTTGGCAAAAATTTACTCCTATTCAGGGAATAAAAAACATGATACTCCTATTTTGGAATTTCAAAACGTTTTTACTCCTATTTAGGTCAATTTCCGTATATTTTAGGTATTGGACAAAATCATCTATTTTAGGCTCATAGTAATTGTAATTAATTGTAGAATTATCTCCTGTCTGGATTAGAATTGTATTTGTTAAAAATTAAACACAACACAATACGAAAGATAATAAGAAAGATACACGAATTTGGTAACTCAGTTCGTCATGAATGACTTCGTCTGGGGGTGCTACCAAGCCAGGATGTACTATTATTTTTTGATAATGATTACAAGGAGAGATCGTGTATTTATAGAGAGCAAAACCTAATCTCAACAGATAAAGGACGTGCGGCCCATATTACAGTCTCTAACACCTTACAGTATTTAAGGTGGATAATCTTTTTGATATTGTAGATCCTTTTATTCTAGGGAATCAATTAATTCTCAAGATTCCGAGGATTCACTCTGTACCTATTTAAGTTTGGTAAATGAGAAGAAAATCTATTCCGCCTAATTTCTTCTTTTAATTGAATTGATTTATTTAAAGTTACACAATTCAAAACACTTTTACTATAGAAGCTTGTTGCTATGAAAAGTGCATTTGACATTATCTCAATCGGATCGCCCAACGCGCGTTATAAGAACTAGTAAAGTAATACACGTAAATAAATGGAGTATTAGTATAATACAGTACGTGAGCATCACCCAACAAAACAAAAACATACTACGTACTACATACGTACTACGTAACATAAAATATACTCGTACTTCGTATATACGTAGTATATAGCCAGATTATTCACCGTTGATAACTACTTGATATACTAGTATATAGGTTGCAGGAAGTTTATGATTTCTTTCTCTAATTCAAGCAAACATGATCGACCACACGTATGACGTATGTAATCAGGTCCGATCCTAACATTTTTTTGGCCCGAGTCGATTTTTTGTAAAAGGCCTTTGAGTAATGTAAAATTTGCATATTAAGATTCATAAGCACTAATTTAATTTACATGTTTACATCAAATAATTAAAAACCACATGATGCATGCATGATATTATTTTGATTGATATTATTTGTATTCCTGCTATTTTAATATAAAATACAAAAATTGTATATATAAAATACAAAAATTATTTATGGGCCCGCATTTTTTAATAAAATTTTGGGGCCTAAGGCAATTACCTCTTTGCCTCAATAAGAGGTTCGCCCTGTATGTAATACATCGTATAATAGGAGTATTATGTTTTTTATTCCTTGAATATGAGTAATCTGCCAAGTTTGAAAGAAACTGCCATCTTTAAAGCCTTGTAAAACCAAACTTGGCAGAAATTTACTCTTATTCGGAGAATAAAAAACATGATACCCCTATTTTGGAATTTCTAAACATTTTTACTCCTATTTAGGGAATTATCTCTATAATTTAGTAGGAGACCGTATCCAAAAGCCCATTGGATTCCGGCCGGCCGTAGTAGTAAGTTACCCACGTACGTCAATGCCCGTTACCCTCTTCACTGCGGCCCGGAGGAGTTGGCATCCTCCATTGCAGAGATGGAAGCAAAAGATACTCATACCCGACCGGCGCTGAGTTTGACGCCGCCGTAGGTTTGACCGCCGCATTCTTTTTCCACAAAGTTGGGGACAGTAAACGACGTTTATTATTTGTCATCGTATCACCAAAGCTTACGCCGCCGGAATAACCCGGTGACGTAGCGGCGTCTAGATTCAGGGGCGGAGGGGTGGTCGGCGGCTTCCATGGAAGAGATGGTAATAAATAGAGATGGTAGTCGTCGTCACGAGGAACTAATAATCTGCATGCTTCTTGAGGTTTGACGAATATGCTCATCATGACTACTAGTACAAGAAGGACATCATTTTGAGCACTCATTGTCATGCACTTTCTCAATACGTATAAGCTAAGCTAGCCAAGAATTGAAGGTTTGCATATATTAATAGGAATAATGTATTATACTATAAGATCGAGTAATACCCAGTACGTAATAGTTAAGGAGGCCAGGCCAAGGGGCTAATTTATAGGCTTGAAGGTAGTGGTAAATGGTAATTGATGGCCGGTGACCAGTTTTGAGAGAAAAATGGATGAAATAGAGTAAGAAGACTACCTGCCCGCGTGGTGAGTGTGAACTAAACTTTTGAAAGTTCTAGCCACTCGTTAAGGAATTATAAAAGTTTGCTTCACACTAAACTCGACATAAATATATGCATATATAGGCAGTGGCGGAGCGAGAACAACGGCTCAAGGGGTCGAAACTCAACTTAATTATATACAAAATGAAAATGGTTGATCATTTTTAAACAATGTTTAAGTTGAATATTTCATATGTAGTTTAGATAAATAGGCACTCGTAGCAATAAGATATATTGTGATTGCGCGCTCTGTTTCTGAGTCATGTCACGTAAGTATTGAGTGAGTTATGTCGTATGAAAAAGGAAAAATTGAAAATAATAATCCCAACTATTGCCGGTCCGCTGAAAATAATCCCAACTATTGATTATTTTTGTATAATCGTCCCAACTATATAGACTATCCGCCAATAATGGTCCATGACCATATATTACCTCTATAAAAAGTGAATTTTAAATAGAAATTAAGCGTAAAAATTAAAAGTTGAGATTATTTAGAGGGATTACTTGTTATATCTCACCCCATCCACTTTAGAAACTACAAGAATTTATTCATAAGGACCATTATTAACGGAAGGTCCCTAAAGTTGGGATTATTCTGTAATAATCAATAGTTGGGATTATTATGAGCGGACCGCCAATAGTTGGGATTATTAGTATCAATTTTTCCTATGAAAAATAATGTATAGTATGCATCAAATTTTGCTGATTTTACGTTTAGATAATGCTGATTTTCGAAAAGTTATAACTTTTTACTCGTAATGAGTTACGGGGGCCATAATATATCAAATCGAAGATATTTCAGAGCTCTATACTCTCAAACTTTCAGCACGGCCTGACCCCGGCTCCGGCCCTGTGCATAGGGGCTTAAGTTTTGCTTGACCATGAAACTAGCAAAAACACAAAAAGCCACGCGTAAGCTAGCTAGCTTGTTTACTTTTTTCTAGCTAGGGATAGGACATTTTTGTTTCGGTTTCATATTTATCTAACATGTTTTCGGTTATGTTCGGTTTGAACGGATTGGTTTGGATTGGAAGAATAATTACCGATTTAACTACAAGTCATATGATATTGGGAAAATTTTATGAAGTATATGACTCCAATATAATCACTTATTTTTAGAATGAGAACTTCCACACTACAAAAAAGAAATACGGGACTGACATGGATTTGGCACAGATTTACTGACGATTTCGTACCAATAGCTTGTGCCAAACAGGTTTTTAAACGGCTTTGGCATATCCTTGCCAAATATCCTTGTCAATTTTGGAGAATTCCTACCAAAAATCTCTATCAATCCCGTGCTTTTTTTTGTGGAATATTGTGTTCCCCTATTAATCCACTTAAAAATAAATGGATATTGTGGAACCACATAGCATATATGCACTACGTTGCGGAGTCATATAGAGCTTCATAAAATTTTTGTATTATATCTCACGTTCTGTAGGCCGGGTTCAATTCCGTTGATTCAGCTTGGATTTATTATTAATTTTAAATATATTACTCCCTCCGTCCCTTAAAATTCTTCCCATTTTCCTTTTTGGGCCGTCCCAAAATTTCTACCCACTTACCATTTTTGGACAATTTGTGCGATTCACATTCATTTCATTTTTTTCTTACACAACCACAATTATACATTTCCACTTTATTCCACTTTCTTAATCTTTGTGCCAAGTCAAACTGGGAAGAATTTTCTGGGATGGGAGTATGTTTTACCGAGTTTTTTACGGAGTATTAATTTCAATTTCATTTGGTCAAAATGGGTTCATTTCGTCGGTTTATATATATGTCGACGCTTACTTTCATCTTTGTAAGTCTTGCCTCAATTAAAGAGTTGTGCATTTAAATGTTCGCATAAATTATCGAGTGTTATTTGTGTAAATGGTACCTAATTTATTTTGTGTGTTGAATAAGTAGTTTGAATTCCATAATAATGAGTTAAAAAGATCAGATTTGGTTTAATCGGTGGTCTTAAAAGAAGTCTTCAATTCGAATACTAAACCAGGGCTAAATGACTACTCGTATATCATATTATGAGTTATATATGACTCATTGAATAAGTTGTTCTTACAATAAGTCGCATGGGAACATGACTTGTGTACTGTATTGACTAAGTCGCTTACCCATGCCATATACGTATCATGCACGTCGAATATGCTTCGCTAATGAAACACGGAGTATCCTACATGTTGGATATTGCTTAGAGAAATGGTGGTGAATAGGACTAAAATTAACTCAATGTACTCAAATAGGAGTTCAAACTTTTTAACTCTTAAATAGTTAAATAGGACTTATCTTTTTATTCAAAAAAAAATAGGACTTAATTTTCGGAATCTTCCATATTTACCCTAATCCCTATTTGGTTTCTCTGCCCTGTGGTCTTCTCTATCGACAAACTAGGGATAATTGATTTCACTTTCATACGGCACAAGATTGGGAGCGGCTCCTTGACGGAACAATGGACACTAAGGCCGAATGAGATGAGGAGAGCAGTCGCGGGGAAACGGCGGCGGTGATTGAATTGCGTTGGCTGCAGACCTGAGCTTGATACCAAAGGGACAATGGACGGCGAGTCGGTGAGGAGGAGGTGCAAGGTGCGCCCGAGAACGACGAAGATGATACAAATCTCTCTTCTTCTCCTCCTCTTTCTCTCCTTCTCTTCTTCAATTTGGTCGCTGCTCTTTTTTCCTCTCCTCCTTCCGTTGATGTAGTCTGATCTTTTTACGTGGCTTCCTGCTCTTTTTTAGCTCATCTTGTTCTTTTCTTTTGTTACTCTCCTTTTAATTTTGTTCGCACGTGTAATTCAATTGTGTTTTGTTATTGTTGTTTCTTTCCAATTTCCTTTTTGGAATTGAAAACCAATGTTAGTGTAAAAAGTTATAACCCCACCCTCTTTGATTTTAGCTTTTATATTAAACACTCTGTATTGCTTATTCTTTATAAACATTTACTCGGTACCTTGAAATAATGGAATTATGGCTGCAATGTCATCAAATATATATGTATAATGTAAAAATTGGGCTCAACCCAATTTTTAAAAATGTCTAAATTTTAGTGTAAAAATTTCCGAGTAATTTTTTTTTGAAAATATTCTTTGTATCGACCCAGCCTGGTCCAGTGCCTCGACTCCGCCCCTCCATATGATAAGGTCAAATTTTGAAACTTCATAGTTTTAGGCAATGCCACAATGCTGAATTCTAAGTCCATATACTATACTTTACCAGCTCGATCAAAAGACTGAAAGGAGCTATATATACACATTACCTACTCGTCGCTCATACGCTCTCATCACGTTAATTCTTCCATCACGATATTTAAATTGTTAGCAATTCTTAGAATTGAGATATTAAGATCTATCTGACTAAAAGTTCTATTGAATAGCATTTGTTTATTGCATAAACAATAGCATTTGTTCATTTCATATCTAATTCAAAGAAGAAAAATTAATTACAGTGAATAATAAATTGACAAAGTTCAGCCGGATAGATTAAGAATATGATAAGCTAAGGATGTCTTCATTGGGCTAAAATCAATGTTTTAAAAGGTACTAGGCGTTAGTCTGGCGGCAGCCCAGTGGCTAGGCGGCTAGGTGGGGACTAGTCGAAGACATAGATTATAGTTTTATGAATGTTTTTGCATATATATGATTGATAATGTTGTATTTGTGTGTATATAAAAACATACACACATACACATTAACATGCATGACTGATATAGTTGCCACATTTAATAATATATTATATCTACTCACACAACTTCATTAAGTCATACATATTACTCTGTATTAAATAATACTCCCTCTGTCCCCGAAACAACTTCCCGGTTTGACCTACACACATATTTAGGAAATAAACTTACCAAGGGGTAAAATTTACTGTTTTGACACTATTTCGACACTGTTTGACACTGTTTTGATGTTAGATAACTTTCCATGTAAGGAAATGAGAAGTTAAATTAGGGACATCCAAATAAGGTAAGTGAGAAGTTGTTTCGGGGACGGAGGAAGTAGTACATAATATATAACATTTGAGATTATATACAAACATGTATAATTATAATCTTAATCAATAGGTAGGTGCTTTCTTCATATGCGGCATTGTTATAGTTAAATGTACACACTACAAGAAAAATGATTTTGGGCATCAAACCAATAATATAGGTATTTTGTTGTCTTTGGGTTATCTTTAGAAGGCAGAGGTTGCTATCTGTAAATTCTAATAAATAATTTTATTTTATATATTAATTTTTATTTGTAGTGAGATTCAAGGTGTTAAGATTAGTATTTACGTACCAAAAGAGAGTTCATTGCAGAAAATATCAAAGACAATGACATACTATTTGTATAAATACAATGTTTGGGCAGTGAAAAATCTGAAGTTTGTTGCACCAAAGAGCGAGTTGAATGGGAGACAGTTTATTTATTTCCTTGCACAATGGACTCTCATGGGCCACGAAATTAGGTGTTGAACAAATAATGTTTTGGGCAATGTAGTTGACTTATTAGTCCAAAGTAGCATGTGCCACCATGGTTAGACAACAACATTGTGACGAGTTCATTATTGTTGCACATATGCTTGGGCAACAAATTGTCAATTTTGGGCAACATTTTTTTCGTTGCCCAAACTATTTTTTCTTGTAGTGACATATATCTTTTAGAAAACAAAAAAAATGTTCAGCGAATCTAGACGTTATTGGCGGACGATTAAGCGCTCTGGGCGGGCAACAAGGGGGCCTAGGCGACCGACTAATTTACCTAGATGTCAAACCAATATAATTAGTCGAGGGTACCTAGACTAAATGCGATTTTTAGAACAATGGCTAAAATTATCTGGCATAATATAACCTGATTTGT